CGCACAGAGTTACATTCAAGTTTCAGAAAAAACTTTAAAATGTAAATTGAGAAATATTTTAGAAAAATGTGTTTTTATTCATTTGCATTCAATAAAAAAGAAATTAAAAATGCGTGCCAAGTCTTGCATTTCCAATAATAACGATAAATGTGTACGTTCCAGGCAATAATTTAAAATATTTGTGAAACTTATCGTTTTGCGCTAAAATACAACAATGTGTGTAAAATTCGTTGTCATTGCTTCTGTTTTGAATATCATATTCGTGCCTCCCGGTGGAAAAAATAGGTAAATTTGCATTTATTTTCAAGAAAACATATCAGTTAAAATATATTTCTTTCCAGAGCGACATACGGACAAGTAAGATGATAAATTTGTATGATGAATATCGCGGAAAAACTTTTGTATAAAATTCATATTCTAATTTGCATTTGAATTATGATATCAACAGGGATGATTTGGGACGTATTTTTTGAAGACAATTTTCTCTATCTAATTTCTAAATCTTGAGATTGTTGATTTATTTTAGAATTAAAAAAGGTAGTTTATATTAAAAAATATATTTACACTAGCGGTATGTAAATTACTTTTATTCCGAATTGAAACGATTTTAATGAATATTCATGGTTACCATTAATAGTAGTATGACAGTTAGATCTAAATGCATATTTGACAAGAAAGATAGAATACAAGATTGCGCCGTCCTGGCGGCGATGACATATCTGTACAAAAAGTAATAAAAGTCGAATTGGATGTTGAAAGAAAATGTGAGAACAGCAAATTTTCTTAATAATAAATTTTTCGATAAGGAACGTGTTTTGATTGTGCTAATTTGTAATAGCCTTATTCATAAACAATAAAGTAACTTAAAAAAAGGCTTATAAATTGAAAAATGTTTGTAAACGGCAATTTAAAAAGCTTTTTAAAATTTTTATTTTTTATTAATAAGGCAATAAAATTATGTGATTTACAATAACTTTTAACAAAGGAAATACGAAATAAGGTGATTTTTGGGGAAGTGGGTATTAGTGAATTTCAGTGCATTTAAAGTTTCTGAGGTTTCGTTTACTTTTAGATCAGAATTGTCAAAATTGAGAAATTCAAAGTAGCGATACAATAATCATAGAAAAGAAGATTGCGCCCTGCTGTGATGATGAGTAAATTTACCACAATGAGGAAGAATATAACAATTAAGTGAAAAAATTTTATTTTTACAAATTTAGTGAGCAGTAACGCGTCTCAAGAACGATATTTCAGACAAATCGTTAAGGAACAACCATTTTTCCATCCCGTCTGCTTTGGTTTTGGCAAAAAAGTTGATAAGCTCCTGCCGGCGATCAAGTCATTTCAACCATAAAATAATATTATTTGCAAGAACCATTCACTAAAATTGTAACTAACTTTTTATTATTTATTAATTCCTTTTTGATATTCAGCAATAACAAGATGGAAAAAAATTATAAACCAAAATTAGTAATATTTTTATGAATGCAGTTATAAAAGTTCACAGAGGAAACGCCGGAAAACAATGTATTGACAACAACATAAAATTTATGGCAATTTAGATGTCAGCAGAATAATAACTACGATAAAAAAGCATGAGAGAGTGTGCGAGAAACGGTCAACAAATTTCTTATAAAATATTTTAATTTTTGCTGGGTATAAATGAAAACTCAATGAGTATTAAGGAAAAGAAAAATTTGAAAATAATAAACAGAAAAAGAGATGGGTGCACAAAAACTCTAGATAAATGTTTTTCCCAAACTCTTAAAAAGTAAGCAAGTCGATTTTGTTAATGTTACTTTACATCTATTTTCTTTTTTATGAATAAGGTCATAAGCATGTACCGTGTTTATAAATAAATCTTATAGCAATATGCTATATATTTATTTATACACTTTTTGGCTGGCGAAATATGTAATTTTTCAACTTAATAGAAAAGCGTATTTAACCCCATTTCTTTTTTATTAATATTGAATGGCGCAACACAACAACTCTTTTTGTTGCATGAAACCCTTGAATACGTGCCTGTCATCTATTTCTTCTGTTTCGACATTTCGGTATTTTGCATTACTTTCATTTTGACGTCATTCGCATTGTCAGATTTTTGAAATTCGTTTTGGTTCGACATTCTGCTATTTCATAATTCTTTCATTCTCATGTCATCCATCTTCCATTTATTACCTTCCATTGCCGTTCGCATCGTCGAACGTGCCTGTCAAACACTGCCGCCATCATGCTTTTCAGTTTGGCAGGCACGTCCGCTGTTTGGCAGGCAAGTCCGCTGTTAGAAAGAGAATAGACAAAAAGGGGCATAGGATTCCATACTTGTAAGTATATACGATGGTTTTTACCGTGCAATCCGTGCAATATGTGCACCATGCAAGGCCCTTGCAAGACTCAGAGAATACCCCTATTAATTGTCAGATCTTTATTTATATAGCATTCGCACATTTATTTAAACCGAACGCAAATCAATTTAACCTAAACGCAAATCAAATTAACCCAAACGCAAATTAAATTAAACCAAACGCAACACAGCAAAAAGGTAACTATTACTATTATGTGTTGTTTACACGCGGCGATTTTAGAGGTGATTAGTGTAATCAAAAGTTTGCTGCCACCAAATTCGTTAGAAGCGATTAGTGAAAAGGCCGTTCACACCAAACGATTATTGCTTCCACCTAAAAGTTGCCTATAGAATCTGCATTCGAGAAACAAAGCAGAACAGCCACTCGCGATGTTGATCCGTTGCTGGCTCGCCAACCATTGCTATAGATTCAAACTACAACTACTAATCTATAGTGGTAATGTTGTTGTTGTAGCGGCTACTAAGCCCCGTTTGGGGCGGTTCATCCATCAACGTTGTCGTCTATTTCAGCTAGGAGGCCCAGGAAGTGTGCTACTTCCAAAGGGGCTGTCCATAGGGACATGGGCGTTAGCTGAGTGGGGTTTTCAGGGCAAGTGAAGAGGTGTCGGGAGTCATGTGGCGACTCTCCACATGCCGGGCATTGGTTGGGCACATCCTCGTTGATTCTGCTCAGGTAGCTGTTG